GCACCAGTGCCATGACAGTTTACAAACGCCACAGCAACCTCAGGAAGTTACCCTATATGGACTGAAAGGGAGAGGAGCTCTCAGTTTCAGGGAATCGCCCACCCCTTTCACAGAAAACTAGTGAATAATCCTCCCTTTGTTTAGCAGATAACAAGAAGTGATTATAAGGATCATCAGTTGAGCAGCCCATCCCACTGCTCCGCTGTGGAGTAGCCATCTTTTTCTTTACTTTCAAACCCTCTCTTGGGGTATGGATGAGGACCCTTTTCTGGTAACATTCCTCCTTCCTTCCTTCCTTTCTTTTTTTTTCTGTTAAAAAAAAATGTAATCCTGTCTTTCTTGGGATCTTTCTTTCTTTCCTTGTTTCCTCCTTACTTCCCTTCTTTCCTCCCTTCCTTCCCTCCTTCCTTCTTTCCTCCTTCCTTCCCTCCTTCCTTCTTTCCTCCTTCCTTCCCTCCTTCCTTCTTTCCTCCTTCCTTCCCTCCTTCCTTCTTTCCTCCTTCCTTCCTTTCCTGACAGGGTTTGTTTTTTAATTTTTAAATTTAAAAAAGATGGGTTTCTCCATGTTGGTCAGGGTGGTCTCAAACTCCCAACCTCAGATGATCCGCCCACCTCAACCTCCCAAAGTGCTGGGATTACAGGCTTGAGCCACCGTGCCTAGCTTCTGACAGGGTTTGACTCTGTTGCCCAGGCAGGAGTGCAGTGGTGCTATCTCAGCTCACTGCAAACTCTGCCTCCCAGGCTCAAACAATCCTTCCACCTCAGCCTCCCAAGTGTCTTGGACAACAGTCGTGCAGCACCATGCCTGGCTAATTTTTGTATTTTTGTAGAGACAAGGTCTTGCCATTTAGGCCAGGCTAGTCTTGAACTCCTGAGCTCAAGAGATCCACCTGCCTTAGTCTCCCAAAGTGCTGGGACTATAGGCATGAGCTACCATGTCCAGCCTTCCTTTCTCTTTTAAAAAGCCACTTGTAACTATTGCTGATGGGAACATACATTCAGGGCAATTTGAATCTATGCTCCTGGATTGCAGTCCTCAAACTTGACCCGAATAAACTCTTCACTTGTATGGACTTTGCCTCAGTTTTTTCCTTTAGGTTAATAAATGAGTGTGACCAAGCGCTATTTCCTCTCCCCATCAATCAAGCAAGCCAAATATACACACCACCCTGGTAACCACCCCTATATGTGCCTCCAAGGCACATATAGGCATTTCTGCTATCATGTGATACACACATTCCTAAAGAACATGACATTTTGCCAAGTGGCACATACAAATAACAGGGCTTCAGGGGAGAAAGGACTGACAAGGACCATTTGTATCCTATGCAGTTTTACAATCTGAACACAAACAAAAATAAATGCAGTCTTGATAAACACAGGAGCTAGGGTAAATCTCCACTGGCGTGGGGAACTCTTGCTTTCTCTTCTCAGATTAGGGTCTTTGGGCCTTTCACTTCTAATAGAGCTGTTTCATCACAACTGAAAATTCAGCCAGGTGCAGTGGCTCATGCCTGTAATCCCAGCACTTTGGGGGGCTGAAGTAGGTAGATCATTTGAGGTCAGGAGTTCAAGACCAGCCTGGCCAACATGGCCAAACCCTGTCTCTACTAAAAATACAAAAATTAATCTGGCGTGGTGGTGCACCTTGTAATTTCAGTTATGCAGGAGGCTGAGGCAGGAGAATCACTGGAACCTGGGAGGTGGAGGTTGCAGTGAGCCAAGATCATGCCACTGTACCCCAGCCTGGGCAACAGATCGAGACGCCATCTCAAAAAAAAAATAAAATTGAAAATCCAATTCAGGCTGTAATCAATTAAAACAAATTATATATGAAAATGTCTTCAACTGTCCTTTAACTCCAGCGTTTAAGATTACTGAAAGGGTCACAGGGAGTGACAACTGTCTGGGCCAGTGGCACGGGAGTAAAATAATTTACCAAGACACCTGTAGGTAGAGAAAGATAGATTTATTAGAGAAAGCAGGAAAAGATGTTGCAAGGAGGCAATGGGCAGTATCAGCAGAAGGGGAGCGGACTACAGGAAACAAAGGCTTGCTGCTCATTTTACAGGATGGTTCTTGGGCTGATGGATGACGCCAAGGCTGCAGGGAGCTAACCTGCTCTCTTCTGTCAGCCGGGATGTTTGATAAATGAAAGCGTTTGGTGGCAAGCGGGAAGTTTGTGAGTTATGTGTGTTATTTGCTTAGGAGGACTACACTTCCTGGGACATAAAGACAGACCTACAACTCATCTGCTTCATCTTTATCTGTTCTGCACCATGAGGAAAGGCAGATTTAAAGCTTTTCTGCCTTTGCTTTCCCCTGGTCCTGCCAGTCTGACTCCTTTTCCCTAATTAGGACTCCACAGAAAGCTTGGAAAGCACTTGCTTTTGTTTTGTTTTGTTTTTTTTTTTTTTGAGATGGAGTTTCGCTGTTGTTACCCAGACTGGAGTGCAATGGCGCGATCTTGGCTCACCGCAACCTCCGCCTTCTGGGTTCAAGCAATTCTCCTGCCTCAGCCTCCCGAGTAGCTGGGACTACAGGCGCGCACCACCATGCCCAGCTAATTTTTGTATTTTTAGTAGAGACAGGGTTTCACCTTGTTGACCAGGATGATCTCGATCTCTTGACCTCATGGTCCACCTGCTTCGGCCTCCCAAAGTGCTGGGATTATAGGCGTGAGCCACCGCGCCCAGCCTGTTATTTGTTTTTTTGAGACGGGATCTCTCTCTGTTGCTCAAGCTGAGTTCTGTGGCTCAATCACAGCTCACTGCAGCCTGAAGTTCCTGGCTCAAGTCATTCTTCTGCCTCAGCCTCTCGAGTAGCTGGGACTACAGGTGCACACCACCACACCCAGATAATTTTTGATTATTTGTAGAGATAAGGTCTCACTATGTTGCCCAGGCTGGTCTTGAACTCCTGGGCTCAAGTGATCCTCCTGCCTCAGCCCCCAAAACGCTGGGATTACAAGAGAAAGCACTTCTTGATGCCACAGAATCAGCCCTAGAGCCCTGCAGAATTTGCAGCACTTTCTCTGTAAGGTCTTCATATGTTGTGTGAAAGGAAAAAAAAACTCAGGACCCCAATTCACTCTGCCAAAAAGGAAAAGAAAACTGTAAGCTGAAAGCTGAGTCATGCACCAAGCTGTAAAGACAGCTTTTATTCCTAAGCAGACAGCAACAGATAAAAGGTTAAATATCCCCACAAGTAGCTACTCAGTGTTCACCTTACCTTATGTAAAGTGCTGATTTACTGAGCCAGAGACAGACGTGTAATTGACGATTCCTCTACTTGGACCTTTTGTACCTTTTCTCTTGCAACGTGTGGATTACCATACTCTCCCTCTTTCCCCTCCAGCCAGCTTTTCCTCTTTAAATATTGAAACCCTCAAAATCCTCTTTGGAGAAAGGCACAGACCACAGACCGTTTCTGAGATTCTGCTTTTTTCTTCTGGGCATGTCCTTCACTTTGGCGAAATAAACTTCTGAATTAATTGAGACCTGTCTCAGATACTTTTTGGTTTACAGTTGCTAAGCCTGGCTCTTTCGTTGAGAGAATGCTTGCCCCCACCACCCCCTGTCCCCCGACCCAGCCCCACCACTAGCACCTCAAACTGTTATATAAACATGCTGCTAAGAACACAAACAATTTCTGCATCCTACTGACAACATTCTTTTATTTTTTTTTTTTTATTTTTCGAGATGGAGTCTTGTGCTATTGCCCAGGCTGGAGTGCAGTGGCTGGATCTCAGCTCACTGCAACCTCCACCACCTGGGTTCAAGAGATTCTCCTGCCTCAGCCTCCCGAGTAGCTGGGATTACAGGCTCCTGCCATTACACTTAGCTAAGTTTTGTATTTTTAGAAGAGACAGGGTTTCGTCATGTTGGCCAGTCTGGTCTCAAACCCCTGACCTCAGGTGACCCGCCTGCCTTGGCCTCCCAAAGTGCTGGGATTACAAGTGTGAGCCACCGCACCCGGCCAGCATTCTCTTGTTTATCATCTGCAAGTGAACTAACTCATGGCACAGAAGCATGTACTCAGTGAGACAGAACAGACTCTGCCATTTGCACCACCAGGGAATTTGGTAGAATATCTTCCTGTTTTGTGTCCTAACAGATTTTCAGGCATGCGTTTAATAGTTTTACCAGTGAGCATTGGTTTCAGCTGCAAGTGACGTAAAACAAAATGGAGAAATATTTTTCTTTCCTACTAAGTCAGGTTAGGGGTGGGGAGCTGAGACGGTTCTCCACAGGGTAAGAGGCCCAGCTCCTCCTAGCTTGATGCTCTGTCCTGTGGGGCCTCAATCTCAAGCCCCAAGCTAGTGGCATCTACATTCCAGGAAGCAGGATGGAGAAAGAGGCAAAGAAGAGAGCAAAGTTTCTGGAAGCTGCCATATGGCATCTTGCATACGTTGCATTAGGTGGAACTTTATGTCTGTACTGCCTTCAAGGGCAATGGGGAAATGTCTTTATTTTGGGCAGCCACAGGCCTTGCCCCCAATTCTGTTACTACAGAAGAGGCGCTGAAATGGATTTGTGGATCGGGAGAAGCCATTAGCAGTCTGTACAATACAGGCCCATGGCAAAACTTTAAAATTCTAGAATATTCCTAGCAGAGGTGAGACAAGTAGTGACTGAAGTCCTGGTATCATTGTCTGGTCACAGAATGGCCTGGAGATGTACGAGCATGCTTTGTGGTGTGGTACTAACCCAGGATTTTGCCCTGGTTAAATTTTTCTTATATAAAACATTTGTTTTTCATTCTGATTCAGAAGGGTAACTTTCATTTCTGTTTTACTTTTTTTTTTGTTTTTGGAGACAGAGTCTCGCTCTGTCACCCAGGCTGGAGTACAGTGGTGCAATCTCAGCTCACTGCAACCTCCTCCTCCCAGATTCAAGTGATTCTCCTGCCTCAGCCTCCCAAGTAGCTGGAATTACAGGCACACACCACCATGCCCGGCTAATTTTCTTTTTTTTTTTTTTTGTATTTTTAGTAGAAATGAGGTTTCATTATGTTGGCCAGCCTGGTCTTGAGCTCCTGATCTCAAGTGATCCACCTGCCCTGGCCTCTCAAAGTGCTGGGTTTACAGGCGTGAGCTACCGCACCTGGTCTATTTCTATATTATAACAGTCACAGAAACACTCCTATTTCCTCTCCCCCATCCCATCACCAAGTGATTGTCAATTTTCCATCCTAAACATACCTCAAGTGTATCTACTTCTGCCTTCCACAGTCCCATGCTGGTCCAAGTCACATTGTTCTTTCACCTGAGCTATGACAAACACCTTCCACTGCTCCTTCTCCGCACTCCAAATCCAGCGGTCTCCTGTCCCCTCATCAGTTCACCTCTGGGCAGCCAGAGGGAACTTGCATTTTTAATTTAATTTTTATTTATTTCTGGGGACAGGGTCTTGCTCTGCCACCTAGGCTGGAGTGCAGTGGCATGATCGAATTCCTGGGCTCAAGGGATCCTCTTGCCTCAGGTCTGCCAGGACCACTCCCCCGTCCCCCCCCCCCCACCATCTGTGAGTCAGGCAGCTGAGCTTCTCAAGTCTCCGACCCCACCCTGCTCTCGGAGTCTGCAGGCCTCGGCCTAATGGCAGCGGGAGGCAGGGTCTGGAGGCCGGTCTGCCCGCCAGGAAGGTTGGGGGTCCCTGGCCAGAAGGAGGACCAGGAGAGGCTGAGGGGGACTTTGGCAAAGGATGAAGGGGACCCTGGGTGAGGCTAAGGCTGAGGCTGAGGGGGGCTCGGGCTGTGGCAGAGGAGGATTGGGGGTGAGGGGGTCTCGGACTGAGGCTCACGGAACCCAGGCTGAGGCTGAGGGGCATCGAGGCTGAGGAGGATCCGGGCTGAGGCTCAGGGTAACCCAGGCTGAGGCTGAGGGGGATCCGGGCTGAGGCTCAGGGGACCCAGGCTGAGGCTGAGGGGGATCCGGGCTGAGGCTCAGGGGACCCAGGCTGAGGCTGAGGGGGATCCGGGCTGAGGCTCAGGGGACCCAGGCTGAGGCTGAGGGGGATCCGGGCTGAGGCTGAGGGGGATCCGGGCTGAGGCTCAGGGGAACCCAGGCTGAGGCTGAGGGGGATCCGGGCTGAGGCTTAGGGGAACCCAGGCTGAGGCTGAGGGGGATCCGGGCTGAGGATCAGGGGACCCAGGCTGAGGCTGAGGGGGATCCGGGCTGAGGCTCAGGGTAACCCAGGCTGAGGCTGAGGGGGATCCGGGCTGAGGCTCAGGGGACCCAGGCTGAGGCTGAGGGGGGATCCAGGCTGAGGCTCAGGGGAACCCAGGCTGAGGCTGAGGGGGATCCGGGCTGAGGCTCAGGGGAACCCAGGCTGAGGCTGAGGGGGATCCGGGCTGAGGCTCAGGGGAACCCAGGCTGAGGCTGAGGGGGATCCGGGCTGAGGCTCAGGGGACCCAGGCTGAGGCTGAGGGGGATCCGGGCTGAGGCTCAGGGGAACCCAGGCAGAGGCTGGGAGGACACAGGCTGAGGCAGAGGCTGAGGGGAATTCGGGCTGAGGCAGAGGGGGACCTGGACTGAGGCAGAGGCTGAGGGGCATCCGGGCTGAGGTTGAGGAGAACCCAGGCTGAGGCTCAGGGGAATCCGGGCTGAGGCTGAGGGGGACTCGGGCTGCGGCAGAGGAGGATCGGGGATGAGGGGGACTCGGGCTGAGGCTCAGGGGAACCCAGGCTGAGGCTGAGGCTGGGAGGACACAGGCTGAGGCAGAGGGGGACCCGGACTAAGGCAGAGGCTGAGGGGGATTCGGACTGAGGCAGAGGGGTCCTGGGCAGGGACAGGACCCACCTGGAGCCCGCAGGCCCACCGGGAGAGGCACTGACCCAGCGGCCCGCAGCCGGGTGTCATGGCGGCCTCCCCGCCACGCCCTCCTCCAGCGCTCTGCTCCCTTCAGGGCGGAAGTCTGGGTCGAGCGTTGGTGACGCCATGACTGTGCCTGCGACGCCCTGTGACTGGCAGGAACCAGGTACTGCGGGCCCGCAGCTCCTGGAATGATCCCCTCTGGGCCCACTGTCCCCACTTCCCCAGGCCAGTCTGTCAAGGCGGAGGCTGGGAATGTCCATGTCCTCACCAGCGACCTCCTTTTTAAATTACCCTCTGGCCCAAAGGCAGGGAGAAGTGGAAGATCTGGGGCTAGAAGCGGGTGTCATGCACTTGACGTGACTGATGACTACAAACTTTAGACGATTCATTTTTGGGGGAGGGTAGGGGTGGAGATCGCGTCTCGCTCTGTCGCCCAGGCTGGAGTGCAGTGGCGTGATCTCGGCTCACTGCAACCTCCGCTTCCCAGGTTCAAGCGATTCTTCTGCTTCAGCCTGCCGAGTAGCTGGGATTACAGGCATCTGCCACCACGCCTAGCTAAGTTTTAGTAGAGACGGGGTTTCATCATGTTGGCCAGGCTGGTCTCGAACTCCTGACCTCAGGTGATCCACCCGCCGCCTCGGCCTCCCAAAGTGCTGGGATTACAGGCCTGAGCCACCGCGGCCGGCCAGATGCTTTTTTTGTTGTTGGATTGCTAACCCGTATCTATCTGCCTCCTCACTCCCCCATCGATTTCCTACCCCCACCTCTACCCCTGCAATTCATTTAAAGTGCATTTTCTTTGGAAATTTTTCAAGGTCTTTGAAATAATTGGAAACCTCTGGTCTTGCTATGCCATAGTCGCAAGTCAGTGTGCTAGGACAGTGGCATGTGGAAGAAAAAGGCAGTGACGCTGGAAGGGAATGCCGAGTTCTCCATTGTGAATAGGGATTCCCCTCCCCCCACCCCGAAACACACACACGCAGACTAGGCTTCTTGCAGTCTCCCACCCTGAGCAACTCTGGGGGTTTGCTGCTAATGCCAGGAACAGTGCCCAACACGAGCTCCCAGTCTTTGCTTGTTTAAAGATGCATGAGATTCCAAATGAATCACTAAAGTAACTGGATTTGCGCCACAGCAAATAAAACAGGGAGTGTGTCCTGTAAATATGAAAACCTGCAGGACTTGCGAGACTTTGGATTTTGGCCACTTACCCTGGCATGCCCTGTGGCATCTGAATGAGTGCCAAGCACAGGGTACTGACAGTGGCCTGGCCTTGAGATGGCCGGACCCAGAGCAGCAGCTGTGACTCACTTTTCCTGCTCTGCCTGGAAAGGGATTCGAGGTATTTACCACCTTCCCAGTAGTGATGAATACACAGAATGTAACATCTCTAGGTCACTCTGACCTCCTTAAAATGGAAAATAAGAGGCTGGGCGGGATGGCTCACACCTGTAATCCCAGAACTTTGGGAGGCTGAGGTGGGCAGATCAATTGAGGTCAGGAGTTCGAGACCAGCCTGGCCAACATGGCAAAACCCCATCTCTACTAAAAATACAAAAATTAGCCGAGTGTGGAGGAGCATGCCTGTAATCCCACCTACTCAGGAGGTGGAAGCAGGAGAATCGTTTGAACTGGGGAGGCAGAGGTTGTGTGAGCAGAGATCATGCTACTGCACTCCAGCCTGGGACAAGAGTGAAACTCCATCTCAAAAAAACAAAACCCGGAAAATAGGAAACTCTCCCCAAACAGTGTTACATGGTGACTTGAGCAAAACTGACTCTGCACCAGAGAGACTAGACTGCAGCTTTCCTGGCAGGGACAGCGTCTATGAGGTCTCCAGCGGCCCAATCTGTTGCTCCCGTATTACCTGGTGTCGTGTAGGGTGAATGACAGCTGTTGTTTTCCACAAGTTCCTGACAAAAATAACCCTTCCAGCCACTCACCACGAGCCTGACTGGTGGAGACTTTAGCAATGGGGAAATACCGCAGACTGTCCCAGCAGGACAATGCCGGGCCTGCAGTCCCCAGAGGCACCCACTTGCTTACCCAAACCCCAGACATTTCATTTAAAAGCAGAAGTGAAAGGAAGACCAGGTTCCTGAAAGGGTTATTTTGACTTAGTCTGGCTATAAAAATGCTATTGGCTGTTATTTGGCATGACCAAAGTGCACCCAGAATGTCTTCTCTCTCCATTCAGTGCATGAATTACTTTGGCTAAAAGGAGGTGAGCAGCCCTCTGCCCTTCCAGAGCAAGCATGGAGCAACAGGATCAGAGCATGAAGGAAGGGGTGAGTGTGTGGTTCAGGGAAAGGGGCCAAGAGCAGGCTTGGCTGCCAGGGCCTGCTCAGCCTTCCTGGGGAGTGGCTAGGGGGCTTCTGGTATTGCAGAGGGAACTCTCTGTTGGGAGGGATTGTGGTGGGGATAGGGGGAACGTCTTGCCCAACAGGTGGTCTTTTACAGGGAGGAGAGAGGTTTAGAGACAAGTGCTCTGTGGAAATCATTCTACTGGAACAGCCTTTAAAAGTGGGATCTCTAACTGAATGGAAGAGACCCAAAGGATTAATTTGTCCCTACTTGAACCAAACATGTTAGCTGCAAAATCCTTTTATGTTGGGCGAGATGTTTCGCTCTGCTTTTGTTTTGCTTTTGGCTTCAGGGCATTTAATTAACTTTTTCAGCAAGTAGCATTGCTGAGCTGCATGAAAACAAGATAAACTCAGAAAAGGTGTTGCTAGATTTGAATTTAGTTCAGATCTGTCATGTAGATTTCCTGCCTTTTAGATATTGAGGCTCCCCTGTTTTAGAAACGAAAGGTTTTTATGAACTCCCACAACATAATTGTGGTTTATTTTCTAGATTCCCTTGTCTGAGGAAAATGCATAATGTCAGAAAAGAAATATTGACTGATTAACATTTTAAGAGAACTTGTATTTATTCATCTCGATAGCATGTGCTTATATTTGGAGTGGAGGAAGAGTAGTGCACAATTTTGCAAAATAGCATTTGTTCAGGCATGGATGTGAGACGTTCGCCATAGGCAAACTGGAAACATGCTTTGTACCACGTAGATTTTGTTTGTTTGTTTTTGAGATGGAGTCTGGCTCTGTCACTCAGGCTAGAGTGTAGTGGTGTGATCTCAGCTCACTTCAACCTCTACCTCCTGGGTTCAAGCAGTTTTCCTGCCTCAGCCTCCTGAGTAGCTGGGGTTACAGATGTGTGTCACCAAGCTCAGCCAATTTTTGTATTTTTAGTAGAGAACGAGGGTTCACCATGTTGGTCAGGCTGGTCTCAAACTCCTGACCTCATGATCTGCCCACCTTGGACTCCCAAAGTGCTGGGATTACAGGCCTGAGCCTGTAGCGCCTGTCCTGTAGCACATAGATTAAGAGTGGGTCTTGGGAGGCTGAGGAGGGTGGATGACCTGAGATCAGGAGTTTGAGACCAGCCTGGCCAACATGGTGAAATGAAACCCTTCTCTACTAAAAATACAAAAATTAGCCAGGCATGGTGGCAGGCATCTGTAATCCTAGCATTTTGGGAGGCCAAGGTGGGTGGTTCACCTGAGGCTAGGAGTTCGAGGCCAGCTACTCGGGAGGCTGAGCTAGGAGAATTGCTTGAACCCGGGAGGTGGAGGTTGCACTGAGCCAAGATTGTACCATTGCACTCCAGCCTGAGCGACAAGATCAAAACTCCATCTCAAAAAAAAAAGAGTGGGTCTGGGAAGTAGTGAAGCAGGAGCGGCTGCAAGAAATAAACCTCTCGAACACCGAACCCAGAAAGGAAGAGGTGTTTATTATTTATAGCCTGGGAGTGAGGCTTTATGTTTTGTCTAAATGGCCAAGCTCCCCTAACAGAGAGAAGCTCTGCCTTTATATAGGCTTCCACTCTAGATATTACACACGAAAGAATCTTAGGTTTACGGCCTTAGAAATTACAAGTGAAAGGGTCTTGGGTTTACAGCTTTAGAAATCACATATGAAAGGGTCTTGGGTTTACAGTTTTAGGAATTACATGTAAAAGGGTCTTGGGTCTCTGAATGGAGGGCTGGGGTGGGCGTTTGATGTTGTTTGAGTAAAAACCCTGTCTTCGAGAGATTCCCCCATACCACACCTCCTATCTTATAGGAAGGTGATTTAAGAGGCACCAGTCGGCTAGCCTTTTCTTCTATTGAAATCCTGTGTGGAGGTCAAGGGGGAAGTGATCCCAGATGCCTGGGTCTCCTTCCTCACTAGAAGCCCCCAGGATTCATTCCTGCTGCATCCTATTCTAGCAGTGGCAAGTTCTTTAACTCTTCTGTGCCTCAGTTTTCTCATCTGTAAAGTGGGAGTAATAACCATCCTGCCTCATAGGGTGCTGAAGCAATTAAATGAGACAATGCATGTAAAGGACTTGGCACAGAGTGAGTTCGCCGTAAATGTTACTATTTTATTCTTTTTTTTCTTTTTCTTTTTTTGGCACAGAGTCTCACTCTGTCACACAGCCTGGAGTACAGTGGCGCAATCTTGGCTTACTGCAACCCCCGCCTCCTGGGCTCAAGCAATCCTCCCACCTCAGCCTCCTGAGTAGCTGAGATTACAGGCACGCACCACCACACCTGGCTAATTTTTGTATTTTTAGTAGAGACAGGGTTTCACCATGTTGGCCAGGCTGGTCTAGAACTCCTGGCCTCAAGTGATCCACCCACCTTGGCCCCCAAAGTGCTGGGGTTACAGGTGTGAGCCACTGCGTACAGCCATGGTAAATGTTACTATTTTTACATTATTCTTTAGAGCTGGTTTCTACCGCCTCCGCATGATTGCCAGTTGGCGCTGGCTAACGCTGCGTGGTAGGAACTGTCCTGTGTGCTACAGGACGTTTAGCAGCATCCCTGGCTCTACCTCTAGACGCAGCAGCACCGTCCCCCAGGAGTGACAACCAATGTCCCCGGAGGACAGAATCAACTCCCAGCCCTCAACTGACAGTCACCGCTTTGGAGTCTACTCAGCCCCTTCACTTGAGTTATCTGGTTTGTCTCACATCTAAGAAAATGTTAGACAAATCAAGTGTTATCACCTCCATTTTAATTTTATTTTGTTTTATTTTATTTTATTTTATTTTGAGACAAAGTTGCCTAGGCTGGAGTGCAATGGCGCGATCTCAGCTCACCACAACTTCTGCCTCCCAGGTTCAAGCGATTCTCCTGCCTCAGCCTCCCGATTACCTGGGATTACAGGCATGCACCACCATGCCCAGCTAATTTTGTATTTTTAGTAGAGACAGGGTTTCTCCATGTTGGTCAGGCTGGTCTCGAATTCCTGACCTCAGGTGATCCGCCCACCTTGGCCTCCCAAAGGGCTGGGATTACAAGCATGGGCCACCGCACCTGGCCATTACCTCCATTTGTAGAAAAGAAATGGGTGACGAGGACTTAGGTGTTTGGGGGTCAGGGAGGTCCTGTGCTGTCCAGAAAAAGGCACGTCTGCCATGTCCCCTGTGTGCAGCTGCAGAAAGGAATGGAAATACCCCCATGTGGCAAGCCCTGAAACTGAGCAATACATTGCAAAAGGAAATGATTCAGATGGCCACATGCCGGAGGCCTGGCCTGACCCCAGCTGCCTCCTGCCTGAGCCCTCCAGGGAAGGAGGCCTCCTCTGGGCCAGCACGATGAGGGTGGAGATGGGCTTTCAGGAAACCTCCTGAGAGCAGCCGGCCGCTGGGGGCAAAAGCCAGGGCATGCTGGGCTTCCCAGAACACTCCAAAGGAAACGATTCCAGTGTTCTGTAGGAATCCAGGAAATTGTTAAGTGCAGCCAGGAGGGGATGTAGGAGCCAAGGAGAAATGCGGGGGCAGGTGAAAGCTACAGAGGCTGCGCAGCCTGGGTGTCTGGCAGTGTGTGGAGCCAGCTCCCTGCCCCTCAGCGGCTGTGTGGCAGTGGCCTTGCCAGCCTTTTCTCTTCTTTTTCTTTCTTTTTTCTATAATTTTGAGTCATGGTCTCACTCTGTTGGCCAGGCTGGAGTGCAGTGGTATGATCAGAGCTCACTGTAGCCCTGAAGTACTGGGCTCCAGCAATCCTCCCACCTCAGCCTCCTGAGTAGCTGGGACTGCAGGCATGTACCACCACGCTTGGCCGATTTTTAAATATTCTGAAAAGACAGGATCTCATTCTGCCCAGGCTGGTCTCAGGCTCCTGGGCTCAAGCGTGCCTTCTGTCTTGGCCTCCCAAAGTCCCTGGATTGTAGGCCTGAGCCGCTGCACTCAGCCTGGCTTTTCTCACATGTAGAGGGAAAAGACTGACATCTCTCAGATGTGCACCAATGACTTTCTGTCAGGAAAAAAAGACTCTTGACCTGAAAGAAAAAAAAATAAAATGGATTAGGAAAAAAAAAGATACAACAAGCTATTTTACAACTACGCAAGGATTGAGGGCCAGGTGCAGTGTCTGTCGCCCATAATTCTATCACTCTGGGAGGCCGAAGCAAGCGGATTGCTTGAGCCCACAATTTTGGGACTAGCCTAGGCAACACAGCAAAACTTGGTCTCTACAAAATATACAAAAATTAGCTGGGCATGGCAACGCGTGCCTGTAGTCCCAGCTGCTCTGGAGGCTGATGTGGGAGGATCGCCTGAGCCTGGGAGGAGAAGGTTGCAGTGAGTGGAGATCACGCCACTGCACTCCAGCCTGGGTGACAGAATAAGACTCTGTCTCAAAAAACGAACTAACAAAAAAGGTTGTGAATAAAGTTCCCCAACTCAATAAAAAGATGCCAAGGTGCTTTGGAAAATAAAGACACATTTTGATGGAGTGGCTCCACCACCAACTAGTTGAGTGTCCTAGCGCAAATGACACCCCTCTGTGCTCTCTGGGTCCTCATGATATTCATTTGTAATTAATGGATTAATTAATTAACCCATTTGTAACACCTACTACAGACCAGGCACGGTCCTAAGTGTTCTACACCTGTGAACTCATTTATTCCTGTGGTGGTATTATCCTCAAAAAAAATTTTTTTTTCAGGCGGGGTCTGGCTCTGTTACCCAGGCAGGAGTGTAGTGGCACAATCACGGCTCATTGCAGACTCCTTGGCTCAAGTGATACTCCTGCCTTGTATTTAAAATTTTTTTTTTTTTTCCGAGACTGCATCTTGCTCTGTCACCCAGGTTGGAGTGCAGTGGTGCGATCTCGACTCACTGCAACCTCCACCTCCTGGGTTCAAGCAATTTTCCTGCCTCAGCCTCCTGAGTAGCTGAGATTACAGGCACGTGCCATCACACCTAGCTAATTTTTATATTTTTAGAGAAGTGAGGTTTC